ACCTTTAAGAGGTCGTGGCCGAAAATTTGATTCTGGAGCTGTTTGAGCCTTCTCTATTCGAAATGTCTTAAGAGTGCGGAATGACTAGCCTGGTTTTGGCAACGGTTTGGCGTACTCTCTCATAAGACACACGTCATGGTTAACTCGTTCCTGTGGAATTGTCGACGCAGACTCTGGGGCCCCCTTTACAACTATTTATATGATATAGGCCCTCTTTCGTGTACTTACATGACGTACATGAATTGTGCACGTAGGCGGAAGTACGCATCCTTAGACTTAGTTGATAATTTCCCTACTTCTCTGTTTTAAGGAGATCCACCAAAACTGGACTCCTTCAGTAGACCCTCATTAAGTCTTCGTGCAGTCTGCTGAAGTGGACTGCTTGGCTTTCTTATATGTTGTTTCAGTGATCCTAAATAACTTTCAAATGGGAAGGCTGAGAACGAATCTAGCTGTCCATGTCTCAGGACGTCTTCCGGTAAGTGTATAACACTGTAAACGTTGTAAATTATATTCTGTTTACCGTATTAAAGTATGTACAGTACCTAATAGTGTCCCCAGATTGGTCGGGTGTCGCTAGAACTCTCTCTGTCACGACAAGTAACAGGACGTTGTTGTACAAATGGCCCTTAATAAGGCCTTTTAGGACCACGAAACCAGTAGACAGCAGAAAAGTCATAAGTTCTGTGGCCTGCCATGACTTATAGTCCTCTATCCTACGCGCTGCCCGTGTGCATTCACTAGGCAGCTTGCTGTTGACGGACAGCAAATGCTCACTAATGCTTCGAATCGTTTGCCCTGACAGTATATACCCACTGGTTATGACACTCTCCACCCATAACTTCAGTAACTTCCTAACTACACCTAGGTACACTAAGTGCATGGGATCTAAGAGAAAGCTACTAATAAGTCCTACACTACTATGTACGAATGGTTATGTGCCGACTTCATGCACGTCTCACACAATCATCATAAAATCTATGTCTTTGCGGAGGCCGCGGTCTGTCTCAGCGTACGCTACCTTCGCGTTTTTCTTATCATTTTTCTTAATCTCAAAAGGCTGCCCGGATTGCTGCATCTTTCACAGCCTCCGTAGGCACCTACATTCTTTATCTGCTTCAGATATGTCCGAGCAGGCGCATCACAAATGACAGCAGAAACCGCCACCCTTGGCTTACACCCCACTTCGAGGAACGATAACCCCCTGGCTATCAGAGTATTTATCTGGCCACAGTGAGTTTTACATCCACTATGCCGGAACGGCCAAATTGATCAACATTAACCCTAACTACTTCTGATTACAGCTTGATTAGCCCAATATAATGATATTGACAATTGGCCGTGGCTACCATACTATACAGGGTGTCCCAAAAATATCTACATATTTTAACTATGTATTTTACCGACAAAGACATGGGCCATTCGCGAACGCGTTTTCTGGCTTGTTTGCCGTCATCGGGTGGTGATACCCCAACTCCAGTGTAGCAGCGGAAATTGCCGTCACACTTGAGTTTCGAACTCGCATCTCTCCGGCCAGAGGCGAACGCTCTAACCATTGAGCCACAGGTCCGCCGTCTTGTCGGTTTGTGATCGGATGTATATAGTACAAGTGGGTATCTGTACGCCGATCTGTTTCAGGATGTACTCATCCTGGTTGTTTCGTCCCTTGCCTTCTCCGACTGTATCCAGCAGTCACGCGTACGCC